CTGTTTGCTTCTTTTGCTGCTACAGGGAAAACATGTGAAGTTTGTAAGTGGGAACCAGTCCCTGCAGTAAAAATCCAAGTTTAAATGCAGAGGGAAGGAAACAACCTATGGGCTGTGTTAGGGCAGCCAGTATGTGCATACAGACCTAGTGTGGCCATTGGTATTCTCATCAGGACTTACCTATGTTGTTATTTAAAAATTATTATGTATTTACACCCGGTTCAGCTGAATTGCTGCTGTGACAGAAAGTGCTTTTTTTTTTTTTCTTGTAGACAACTATTTTACGTTTTCCATTTTACTGTCTGGCTTTGTAAGTACTTACTACATTTCTGTTTTCCATTTGTTTACACCTTGTTCCTGCCAAGCTTTGCTTTAATATGAGATTTCAAAGCAATTTTTCCTTTGTATATGTAGATTTGCAGCTTCTTGAACACAGTACAGTCAAAATCAGTCAAACGCCTTTTTACTCCCCTGCAATTAGCTTGGTGAAAGAAAAGGGGAAAAGAACGGCTCCAATTTATTTTTTTATTTATTTATGTATTTATTTTATTTATTTATTTTTCTCTGCGCTCCAAGGAAAAAAACGTTCCTTTTTGTTTTATTAATGACGTGCTTATGAAATGGAGCGTTTGATGGTATGCACTTGGAGCAGGCAGAAGGCAAGCTTCCCCACGTCGCGCTGGCAGTGTGCTTCCTTTCTGATCTGCACCATGCTAGTTTATTCCAGATGTGGGCTCGCTCCGAACAGAGGCTGCCTGATGCACAATGGCTTCACGGTGGAGAAGGATGGCCTGTGGGACCCACTTGAAGCTGCCAACTGTATTCTCTATTCTCAGTTGCGGTCTGTTACATAAGATAGCCCATTTTCTTCCCCCACTTGCGATTAATCCAAGTAGACTATTCATACTGTCTTAAAAAAAAAATAAATAAAAAAATTAATTATTTGTAGCTCAGGCACTTTGAAGTTGATCAGCTTCAAGTGGAAAAATCTGGTCCAAAGGGCTGCCTGTGCAAAACAGCCGAGTTAAGAGGAAAGTTGAATTGCCTAAAGGTGATGTAACTGCAGAGAACAGAAAACAGCCATTAGCCCAGCTGTAGCCTGACCTAGCCATTTGTGTTTCTGCTTTCTATGTGAGGGAAGTTAAAAAATGGAGGTCTTGAAGGGACTTCAAGAGATGACATGGTCTCATTTCCTCCTCTGAGACCATCTTTGACAAGTGTTGGTCCACTGCATCCATGAAGCCCTTCTATTGAGAGGAGTCCACAGCCCTTCTGCATAGGCTGGCTGCTGCTGCTCTGGGTTAACAAGCAAAGTCCTTGCGGTGATCTGAGCAGGGTTAACATTTGCTCCCAGGAGATGGGAAACAAATATCTAAAGGGGAATTTGGCTTCTTATTCATTCGTCACTCTCAAAACAACCATGGGTGTCTTTCTGATTGTCCATCTTTGCTAAATCTCAAATGAATTCAATGGAATTTTCTGGATTATCATATACAGGTATTCAGACCATGTTATCTAGTGAGCCCTTTCCGCTTGGGTTCTCAAGTGTTGATATTTATTATTATGACCTGCCTTTAGTTAAGGGGTATAGGTTGATCTCCTTCTTCCTGTGAGTGACCTGGGTATTGCCTAGTCCCTGTCTGCAATTGACGCTAGTAGTGCCTCTCTCTCTGTCCTTGCTGAGGATGTCTGGAGTTGAAGATACCTGGCTGGACTGGCATTAGTGTATCTCTGTGCTTGAAATGTTTTTGCACTCAGAGATGTAGGTGTACATGTGAAGATTTATTGTGTCGCTTATGAACAAAACTGGGGGGATTATACTAAGTCATATATAAATGAAGCTGTGGGAATTAATTCTGAGAGGGTGGAAAAGTTCAGATGTTAATAGGAATATGCAACTGGCAACTGTCGAGCAGCAACCAGAATTGTCCAACTCATCAGAGGAGACTGGTCAGCAGTTAAACTCATCCTCCTCTGTGCAGGGATTATGCAGGCTCTGAGGACAGTGACATCAGACCTGCAAACTGCCAAATCTAACTGCACTTGGAGTCTCCCATGGGTATTGTAAGTCGTGAGCTTCTAGCCTCTTTGTTTATGAAGAAAAGCTTGAAAATATGAGCCTTTAAAAACTTCAAAATTAAAGACATGCATCACTCTGCCTTTTTTTTTTTTAAACCTTTTTTTTTCTTTTTTTTTTTTTTTTAACATTTAGGCTTTTAACATTCCCAGGCTTAGACCTGGGAATCTCCAATAACTCAAGAAAATTGTTTTTAAGTAAAATTTAAATGCACTTACAAATCCTTGGAATTGGCAGAGCTTTACTATTAAGGCTTTCCTGCAATGGAGTGACATAAGATGCACATTCAAAATAGCAGCATTTTGTAGCTGGCTGTGAAGTGTCCTCTGCTGCTCTCTGCAAAGGAGATAGCAGCTTTATAGGGAAAGGAAGGGGTTTCTGCTTTCTCCCAGAGGTCTCAAGCGAAGGCTAGCATTCTACTTTTTAATACTTAGCTTTCAAAATCTTGCAGTGACGTAGCTAGAAGGTACTTGTGTATTCGTGGGGGGCCTTTGCTTTGTAGAACATGGTTAAATGTAAAGCTATGAATGTTTTATGAGGTAGAGGGAAAGAACAGTGAAGGGATCTGATTTCTAGTCAGCACCGAATTGTTTATCCCAGTGAAATGCATGCAGCTGACTGGTGGGGACTCGAGGGACAGCCTTTTCTTATACAGGAGATGGTGACCATGTCATTTGAAAATGAGTAAAAAGAGGTACATGTTTGGGTGTGTGCCACATGGTTTCCTTGTCTTTATTGTGGCTGCACTCTGCCATCTGCATTCGGACCAGCTAATGCTTTACTTTGCAAGTGCTTTTGATTCCAGTGGGAGTTCAAGGGGAATAAGATGGTATTTGCATCAAGAGCAGCAGAGTCTTGCCATGTGCTTTACTATGTAAACCAATGTTTGAGAGTGGGTCAGTTAAGAATAAATTTTGGATTTTTTAATAATAAGATGTAGGATAGTGAGGAGTGCTGAGGAATGCAAACTAGGCACTGCACATCATGGGCCTTTGAATAACTTGCATTCCAGAAAGCTTTTGCAAACCATTAAACACAATTTTATGACCACATTGTTAAACTTTATTGGAGGGTCTGCTTCCAAACTGGATTCAACAATGGGACACTCGGAGTGGCATCTTGCAGGGAGAATAGATGGTCATCATTACAGCCTCAACTAGACTGGGGGAGGCAGAGAGATTGCGTTTCACTGTTACACTGTTTTCATTGTGAGTGCAAGGTACTTTATAGCAAGAAAGCCTCTCAGGAGCATTTTCGTGCTGTAGCTCAATTCTGGTTTTTAAGTAGATAAATATAGTTGACTCTTGCCCCTGCTTTTAACACAATGTCTCATGTATCACTCTAGTTTATCTCGTAAGTATTCTCTGTCCTGGCATGTCCTGTTATTCAGCGGGAGACAGGGCTTTTATTGATGCACTGAGGATCCCAGTTAAACATGTTGGAATACTGCCCACATGCGTGACTTTCAAATTAACAAATTACCCACAGGTGTGGATGTTTTCAGCCTCAATCTCCTGGGTTACCTCTTAAGACACCTGGTTTGTTTTTCCCTGTTTCTTCTACCTGGGTTCTAGGGGCTGTATAATGTTATTATTTTTCACTTTGTTCTTAAGATATCAGCGTAGATACTGACCCCTTTGTTCTTGTATCTGCAAAACTGCATCTTGCATTGAAGTTAAAAGTTTCAGCATAGGGTCCCAGTGATCAGGTAAAAACAAAAACGTCTTCACTTAATAAAGGCTCTGATAAACCTAAAATCTGCAGGTTGCTGCCACAACCCTTGGGTTTGCTGATATATTTAGCAGTTTCACTTCTTAGAAACAGGCAGCAATTGTACATGCTCTTCACAGTTTGGCATGAAATTTTAATCATCTTTGCTACTTAGCTGTTTGCGTACTGTGAGAACGTTACTTGTGTGCATAACAGACCCCGTTGGAAATAGCTGACCTGGTACCCGGTGGCTACAACACATGCCCTAAAAATTGCCTCCAAATTGTGCATTTTGCTGTCTTGCAAGCTTGAAAACTTCCTAGGGTTTCTCATAATTCTGTTATCCTGGTTATTCCCTTCTCTGAGAGAGTCCTGGCAGTTGTCTTACATGTCTTGCTTGCTTGCTTGGTTTTCTCTTTCCTTTTTTCCTCTGCTGATACCTGCCACACTTGTGTTTACTTGTGCCCCATCCTGCTGGTAGCACTCATGGGAGCTAGCTTTTGCATTTGTATTACTCTGGAGTTTGTAAAGCTCTTTTGGATAAATACTTAGGATCATTTAAAAAAAATGAATAAAGATGTCATAAACATGGCTTATTAACTTGTTTAAACTGAAAAGTTATTCTCTGTGGTGGGTAAATCTATTACTTACAGTCTGTAACACAACTGTCCAATAAGAAATATTTGATTGGCAGCTGATAATTTGAAGCTGGTATTTTCTTTCCTATATCTCAAATCCTGCAAACTCCCCTGGAGGGGGAAATGCTGCAGTGTGATGCCAGTCTGGTCCCTGCTGTAATAGCAGCAGCACTACTGGGTGTACAAGGTCCCACTTGAACAATGTCTTGCTCCTCTGCAACCCTGCGCCGCTCATCCTTGAGTTTTGGTGATGGGTTTTGAGACTGCTGGTTGCTTCGGGAAGGATCGGGGCACTGAGAGCAGGACCTCTGCGTGGCTCAGAAAAGCTGCAAACAGCCCTGCAAGGAAATCTCTACAATCTCTACTGATCCTTCTCTGTGCTGCCTTCTTCTTTCTGCCTGCTTCGCTTGGACCTCAGCTAACACAGCAAAGCTCAGCAAAACCACCCATATAGCTTGAGCTATACAGATACATAGTGATGGGCAGCAAGGTGCTAAATAGCTCCCTACTGTACTCTCCCAGCCCTCTCAGTGTCCAAATCCAAATTCAAGGACTCTCTGCACATTTTCTCTCAGCGAGAAGGTTGCCGCATATGGAAGATGCACATTCTGAAGGGGACAGACGGGCTGGGAATCCAGATAACGGGAGGCAGAGGGTCAAAGCGATCCCCTCACAGCATCATTGTCACCCATGTGGAGGAAGGAGGCTCTGCACACAGGTGAGGCAATGGTGGTGGATGTGGGGGTGGGTGTCATGGGGCATCCGTGGCCATCACTGTTAGCCAGACTCATGAGACACATGGGGTTTTGCCCTCCCTTTCTGTGAGGGTGAGAATATGGCACTTTAAGCTTAAAAACTTGGTTTTGTAATTGGTCACTGAAACTTCTTCCAGCGTGTTTAGCCCAAATTGTAGACTGCTCAAACACTTGCTTGGTGATGTAGCATAAATCAAGGAGCCTGATGGCTGCTGGGGCTTTTTCACCAAGTCCCTTTTTGGAAGATGGGCCTTCCCATGGGATTGGCAGTGGATGAGTGTGGGTTGTGCAACCCAGACAGCTCCCTGCCAGCCTTGGCCCTGTTCCTGATGGGGTGGAGACAGGGTTCACTTCTCCTCCCTCTCTCCAGGGGGGGCACAGAGAAGGTTTGAGGGGTCTCAGCCCTGCAAAGAGGGTGGAATGGCTCTTCTTATAACAATAATTTCCTTGGGCACCTTTTTGAGCCACTTTTTTGGAGCAAAACCCATAGTACCAATTGATGCAAGCTTAGCATGAGCCAGATCATTTAGTCCGTGCCTTCATGTCCCACTGCATGTAGCCTGGCCCCGGGGAAGAACCGCCCTGCAGCTCTGTGTTCCTGCTTTGTTTCGCAGGGATGGCAGGCTGACGGCAGGCGATGAGCTCCTCATGATCAACGGGCAGTCGCTGGTTGGGCTCTCCCACCAGGATGCTGTGGCTCTTCTTCGCTCAGCTGCTGGCCTGGTGCAGCTGGTGGTCGCTAGCAAGGTACAGTCCTCTCCTTGGTGATCTCCTGAGTGTGTATCCATAAGGGTTTGTGAAGTACTGAGTGGAAAGGGCTTAGTTTTGATGGGGAATGGCATGTACACACTTGTTCCCCTAAATTTAACACACAGCTATGGGGAATAGATCAGTAGCTGCCATAAATCTGTGGCAAATCAGCAGGGTATAGATCAATTTAATGATTTGCTTGTATTCTCACTGTCATTCAGTGTGCAAATGAGTCTGTATTTATTCATGCAGACATTATTTAAGTTTTGGCCAAAGACGTTTTGTTAAAATATATGCTAAATAAAGCAGGCTGTTCTCAGCCTCTCCTGCTTCCTGCCTGTGTAGCCTTCATAGCTCTCAACTCTTGTCCTGTCTGTGTGCCTGAGGTCTCTCAATGATGATCTCTTGGCTCGAGTTCTTTATTTTGTCCTTAGTAATAGCTTGGAGTGGAGCTCTTGAAGATAAAAGAGTGTGAAATTTCAGGGAAATGAGAGTGGAACTCATTTATCAGTTGGGCTCTTCGTTCTGCTTTCATTGCAGGAGAGGTTGAGAGGATATTACACAATATTTTTCCTTTGTTTAAGAAAATCCTGCCCACCCCTGTTTGTTCCCTTCCCTGGACTACAGCCTGCTGTAGCCTTGCTTGGGTTGATGTAGGTGTTTGGTGGGTGGCCAACCAGGTCCCAAAAGTGCCTGGGGTCTCAAAGAAGGACCTGCCTGCAGGTGGGCCTTTGGGGTGGTAGCAGAAGCATCCTGGGACAAAGGGGCCACTGATAAGCCTGCATTTCCAGGTGGAGGATGAAGTTTCAGCAAGCCACTGTATCAGTGTCTTTTTTCTTGGATTCGTCTTTACATTGCCCCAGCCAACCTGATGCAGGTTTCTGCAGGTTTAATGCCTGGGTTTTGGCTAACCAGCATGCTTTATGCACATGTCGTTGGAGAAGAGGTTCTATCTCACCAAATTCAAAGTGAAGAGCCTATAAATTCTCTTAACATTTCAGTTAGACAGTGAAGTTCATTGAAGACTTTCTGTAGGCTCACAGCCTGGTATTAAGCCCACTGGTGTTTACTCTGAAAACAGCATGCTTTGACCTGAAGTAGGTACATTTTGTATTTCCTTTAGACAGTTGGACTCTCTGCCAGAACACAAGGCAGTAGACTGCATAAATTTCTCCTTAAAGTTATTTGCTTGTTCATGCGATGATTGCATCAAAATAATAACTGTGAATAAGTGGGCAGCATAAAACTTCACATTCCTGATCAGGCTGTGAATCTGTCTGGCCTGTGCTCTGTGCACTTGGGCTGTGTTCTTGTCCCTGGGAGGAAGACTTGAAAAGGCAAGCAGTGGGAAATCCAGCCTCTGCCATGTCTCAGAAAGGGTGTAAGTAGGTGAAGTATTCCACAGCAGCTCCCTCGGCATTATTTGTTGGTATGAGAAAGCAGCCTTGCAGTTTGGCTTGGTGAGCATTCTTAAACACAGCATTTGTTCTGAGAGCAATAAAATGAGAATCTGTCTGGCCACTGCTTTCAGTTGATGCACGTGTTTGCTTCCTGAAAAAGGTGCCAAAGACTGGAAACAAATCCTGAAGCATCAGGACTTGAGTTGGTAGAGGATTGGTTGGGTCAGTTTTCATTTTGTTCTCTTAAGTAAGGTTGTCTGTCTATTATTATGCATATAGATAGATAAACATGTGGAGGGAACATCCACAGGGAGAGAGCAGGAGAGCAGAGTGTTATTTGGGATGCAATGAAATGAGTAATGAGGTTTGTAAACTCCTAACCTGCTCACGGTGACATTTAATAAAACCAAAGCGGGGAGGAGCAGGCTGCTGGAGAAGTATATATTTTAAATTCTCCTGTATGAAATCTAAATGTTGTAGGTGTGCATTGGCCTATGTTTACTATATGTGCACTTTGAAATGGGGTCTGCTTTTTATAACTGAGCTAATAAAGTTTGAGCACATATAATGAGGGGAGGATTACGAGAGAGGTCTCCTGGGCAGACGAAATGGAGCCGTTTCACCACGGTTTTGATGGTTTTCTGCACGTGATGTAACATATTTTGTTGTCTCTTGGGTAGGAATCTGCTGAAGGGGATTTTCTGAAGTACCCATCTACCAGTTTGCCAGACTTGCTTAGCACTTGCTCAGTCCAAGACTCTGTCTCTTACACTGACAATAAGGAAAACGAGGAGCCAGAAGAAGAAGATGTGAAAGGAGTGAATGCATCTCCTGAAAAACCAGTCATTGTAAGTGTGGCTTTGGTGTGATGTTCACTGTCTCCCTTGGTGCTCTTTTGCATCTGTCACATTCTTCTACAGCCTGACACAAAGCAGGTCCTCGAGACAGGGCAATCCCACCCAGCCCTTCTTTTCATGGGACGTGGGTGACAAGCTGCAGTGGGGATGGAATCTACCACAGCATCTGCCATCTCTGCTACTGCACTGCAGCAAAGCACCAGCACAGGGAGCTGAAGCTCTCGTGTCCTCCAAGCTTTGTGGCAATCATGGTTTTGTTTTTCTCTCTGCTGCTGGATTGTTTTCCACCACTTCCACTGCTTTTGTTGGATCTGATGCAAAGTCTCTCACAGTGCTTACTTAGTAACATGCTCTGCTTTCCCCTCCTTTTGTAACTGAACTTCTTTAACAGTTTCTGATCCAAGTCTTCAAGTTTTTATTTGCTCTGTTGAAGCCAACAGACACTTTTAGGGGAGAGAGTTGAATTTCTGGCTGTGAACTGCAACTGAAGCTCTGCTGAATAAATGCGGCCAGTTAATAATCTCACTTGCATTCCCTTCAGGGCTGCATTAAGTAGAGATTAAGTGGATCATTGTATTTATTTGTAATGTAGCAACTCTGAAACTTCATTGGTGTTCTGAGTTTCTGATGTATTGTACAGACAAAGAATAAAATTATATTTGCTACTCTAAAGAGCTTGCAGGCTGGTTTTCTGGCAGGGAAGGCAGGTGGATTCACTTGACGCTCTTAACCTTATTTTCTACCCTTGTCTTTTTTGTCCCTCTTTTCTGCAGCAATTGTAATAAATCTCTCAAACCTTTGGATGGCTCTGATGTGATGCTGATTTGGTGACTTGTTTTGATTTTGTACTCTTATCCTTTCCCATTTCTGGCAAAAATACTGCTTCCCAGGACAAGTCTCATGTTATAGTCTAACTGATGCTGCTGCTCAATTCTTACCTGCCTGTTACCTCTTGCTTTCTTTGACTCTATGCTTATAACAGTCCTCATGATTGCACAGTTCTTTACTGTGACAAGTTTTGGTATTTCTGCACTGTCTTCTCTTCCATGTGCCAGACTGTCTTCTGTTCCTGTGCTTCTTTTGGGGTGAAGGAAAAGAAAAATAAACAAATCAGGGATGCTTTGCATGCTGAACATGGTGTAGTGGTTGTGTGCTAACTTGAGTGGGCATTCTTTTGGTCATCAAAATACTTTAAATTCCTATATATATCATGTTTCAAATTCTGATAGTTTTTCATAAGGCTGTGGCTCAGCAATGCTTAAACATAAAACTTAATTTTGTCAAAACTTAAATTATGTGTGGCTTCAGGATGCAGGTCCTGGCAATCCAGTAACTCTTTTGGTATATTCTAGATGCTATTTGTCACTTGTTTTGCTCCTGATTCCAGAGCAAGGCTCTGCATGATTTTCAGCAGTGGCTTTGTTATTGGGTGTTTCTTTTCCAGATTAACATAATGCTAGGGCAAGCTTGAGGTGCTTGCCACCATGAAGACCCAGCTGCAGGAGCCTGCCCAGAGCCCTTCAGCATGGACATGAGTTTGGAGCCTGCCCGCATGTCTGTCTCAGTTCTGCTGCAGCTGGCAATGGTGGTAGCTCAGTTCTGAGCCAGTTTGCTTCCCTGCCTGTCTGGCACTCTAACCCCCGATAGCAGTAGCTCTGTACTTTCATAATGCAGCACTGGGGAATGGAGGGGAAATTACAGAAATCTGGGTGCAATAAACACATTAGAAGAATAGCAGCAAGATTTATTTTTCTTCTTTGTTTCTATTAGTTCTTTTGTGTTGGTGGAAATGTAATTCAGAGGTTTGTAATTAGTTATTAGTGACTCTCAGAACATCATCTCTTTTGTTTGGCTTGAGCTGCACATGAAATCCTTTGTCTTCTAATCCAAAGCACAGGATGCCTTTGCATTCCCCTTCTAATTGCTGTCTCAGAGTTGGGAGTGCAGACAGGGCTCTCTGCAGCCGATGGCGGACAGTCTGTAAGTGTAGACCCCTTGACTGTATGCGCAGCCTGGTCTGTCCTTATCACTTCACAGCAGCCTGAGCTGAGCAAATCCTGCGTGCCACCAGGCAGGATGCAGGAAGGTAAATGTATGGAAAAGATAAAATTCACACGTCTTCTTTTTCCACCTGACAAGATAGGAAGGGCTTTTCATAGCAAAGCTTAGAAGCTGATTTCAAGGTCAGGATGAACATGGTGTATCACCTGATTTTATTTTACACACATGTGTATATATATAGTCATACAGATTATTTCAAAATTGCTTTGGAAATTACTGTTCTTTGCTGTTCCCACTCTCTTGATGATACATCTTCTCTTTCATATATATTCCATTATATTTGCACTGTAGGTAAGGATGACAGTGTGACTGGTGATTAAAGCAGGAACTAAGACGGACCATTTTTAATCAGTTAATTGGGTCAGTGTAGGTGAGTGGGTGGTACTCAAGGTCTATACCAGGTAGCTGGAGCTGTGGTCTTAGTTTAAGTGTTAGACCTCTCAGATTTGAAACCAATTCTCAGTCCAGCTCTGATGAGGAGTTACCTTCCTTACCACCATTTTCTCACCTCTGATGAGAGGTTAATTAATTTTCTTGTTTACTTTGCAGGGCTTTGTAGAGGCTCAAAGGGATGTGGTCGGGTTCTGGGTGCATAGGTAACAAGAAGTAACTCAGAGTGATTTATTATTAGCCGAGGTTTCACTGTCCCTTTTCTGACCAACACAGTGCTTATCTAATTCCATACTAATGCTATCTTCTGATAGTACAAAATTTGCAGGAGCTCTTAGGGTTGCTGTTAACTTAACTATGAATATAATTCAGTGCTGAGTATTCAGAACCATAATTTGACTTGCTGTTAATGCCTTAGCACCTGATTGCTTAAAAAGCTGAGCAAAGCAGAAAAAAATAATCACTTGAACTGAGGTATACGTGCAGATTTTCATCCTTGTTGTTATGTAGAACTCCACTGGATCAGGCCCTGAGGAACCTAACCTAAGTTGTCTCTGCTTTGAGGTAGAGAATGGACCAGGGACCCCAAAAGGTTTCTTCCAACCTGTCTTACTCTCCAGTCTCATTTCTAGGGGCTAAAGTTTTCTCTGTGAGCAAGTTCTTTAAAACTCTTTAAGTTCTGCTCCAGTGTTTCCAGGGAGGGAAATATAATCTGAGCTGGTCAGCTTCCCCGGGATACAGCAGAAGAGTTTAGTGACACCTGAAAACTAATTTAAGAGAAATAATCACTTTTAAGTCTTACTTGAAAGTCCACTTGTTGTGCTCCCTTAATTAAAGTTTCATAGTACAAATGTAATTGGAGCTCTGTTGTTACACAGTTTCCTTATGTAAAGCCCTGTTTAACAGGAAACATCCCTTAAAGTTCTAACTTCAATAAAACTTGTGCTGCCAGGCAGAAAAAGGATTCCATTAATATCCTTGAAGAGCATTTCTTTTAGAGCTAGTTTAGCCAAAATGTGTCTTAACTTCAGATACAAAATACCAGGCCACAGAGTCGTGTTATGCTAAATTCTCCTGAGGCACTTTGGGGATTTAAACCCTTCCTCCCCACATCCCGCAGTCCATATTTTGCCTTGAGCTGTTGATGTTGGTATTTTAAAATGTCATTATTTATGTCTGAGTGAAATAGGATGATATGATAGTATTTGCCTTTGATTTATTTTCAATTCTAATTCACTTTTCCAAGTATTTCTGTTGCCTGAAATTGAATCTGTCACTGTATTGCTGGCTTGCAGAGCATCCTGGGAAATGAACTCTAAAGAGAAAGCAGGTCTGCCAAGAATTTGCCAAGTGTCTGATGAATTTAGGGCATTTTGGGTCTCCAGACAGACACATGTGCCATCCTTAATTGCTTCAAAAGTGTTTTGCTTTTGTTTCTGGTAGTGCTCTGTTGTTCAATATATGATGATCCGAGTACTTTATTTTTCAGGTGTTCACCTTCAGTAACTAGCTTCATATTAATAGCTTGAAATTGCAGAATGTTACTAAATACAAAAGAGTGTCTGCCTCAGTACTTAATATTGTTCTCTCCCATTGGTATCTGCCATTTATAACGCTGGAGGCAGCACCCTGAGATGAGTCTATTCCGTACAGATTGGAATTGTACAAGAGAGAAATCTCTTATTTGGGAAAGGAGGTCATAGTTACCCCTATGTGTATGGGGGGGAAGCTGGGAAGAGAGGCAATTTGCCTCCCTATGCCCAAGCTCACCATGCAGGCACAGCCTCTGGCAGCATCCTCAGCTGCATGACCCCTCTGCTGTGGAGTGGCAAGCCCCTTCAGCTCATGTTTAATCATGTTGCATTGACCTAAAGTGTTTGATCTGTACCTTCACACGAGCAGTGGACTCTGTTGCATGCAGAGACAGCCATGACCCAGCTAGGTCTTGGTTCTAATACAAGTAATAGAAACAGGATGTCTCCAGTTAAAGGTTTCTTGCATGAGTGGGATTTCCTTATCCCTGCCAAAACCCACTTGTGTTTTTTTGCAAGACATGTAGCTGAAAATGGATAAATAAACCTGTTCTGTGAATATAAAGCAATGTGTTTGTGTAACTCCCCTTCCTCCCCATTTTTATTTTTCATCTGAGCTGTAGGACTGCTTACATATTTTCTGTCATGAGCATTTCTGTCTTACCAGGGGATCCATGTGTAATTACCTGTAGCCATGCAAGCATAATAAGGAAGAGGATAACAATGCTGTAAGTTTAAAAACAGTCTTGGGGTCAAAAGTTCTTCTGGAAGCACTGGGAGAGAATTTCAGAGAAAGCATTAGCATTGAGAAGGAACAGGAAGCATAACTCAACAATTAAATGTGTGCAAAGCACGGGGAGGGGCCCTCATTACTTGGAGGACTTGAGCATTCATTCCCATTAGGGCACTACAGCCTCAAAAGAGGTTGCTTACTCCTCAAACTGCACCAAAAGGCTGGAGAAAAAGGCAGGAAAGACCTTTTGCTGGCAGAAATCTGCCTTGCAATGA